TTGCGGGCTCCACAGGAAAGCAAATTTTGGCAGACAAGGAACATGCTGGGATATCAGAATTCTGTGACCTGAGTGCTTGTGAAGTTTTAAACATGTTTAGCGGATGTCATTTAGAGTTTAATAAACGAATAGAGGAAATTTAGAGGATGCACTTTGCACTTTTGGGGAGCGATGACTGGTGAGGTTGGTTGGGATTACATGGGTTTTAGGATCATAAGGGCCAGGGTTGGGCCCCTGGTCCTGTGTGTGGGATCCTGAGTCAGCATCTCAGCCTCTCCACACCTCTTCTGCCAGCAGAGCTTCTCGAAAAGATGGAGATGACCCTCTGAAGTGCTGGCCAATCAGTGTAGACATAACTGTTAGCAATGCTAGGCTAGAACAGGGGTCGGCAAACTTTTGAGACGAAACATACCCAAGGAGCCGCATGTGGCTCGCAAGCCACAGTTTGCGACACCTGGTCTAGAACATACTCACTTAAAATACTCATTTCCTCCACTGCAGTGACCTTTTACATGAATAGAATAAATATTGTAGTTTTAACAAAAGTTAATGGTTATATTATGGGGGAGGAAACAAATATTTGATTCTGTTGCTCAACAAAGAGCACAGAGATCACAGGTTCTTGAATTTGCTCTCATTACCCCTTGGACCTTCTAGGAGAAACTAATTTCCAAAGTTGTTTTGTATTTTTAATGTTCTGTGATTTTTTTCTTTCTTCTTCTTCTTCTTTATTTTTTTTAAAGGAACTTTTTTTTTTTTAAATACTCTGTTTTGAATCTTTGAGTGACAGAGTATCTTGAATTACTTTGTTTGGGTGAAGTGCAAGTGGGTTTGGGGCCTGAAGCCTGGGTATCAGTCCTAATACTGCTGTTCACTTACTTATCATCGACCTTGGGAACCTGGAGGGAGTCTCTAGAGGCTGGGTCACTTGATCTCTGAGGCGCCTTCCTGCTTTGGTGATCTTTGTCCTGCAACTTGATGAATAATGTTTCTTCAGAAATATCACTGATTAAATTGCTTCTCTTGGTATCTAGCCCATTAGTTAATTAAGCGTTTTGAAAGTTATCTATTGCTTACAGGCCATTGCTTATAGGCCTGGTTGTTCCACTATCATGACGTAGTGATTTAATAAGATGTACCTCCTACTCGAAAATTCATGCACTTCACTTAGATCTGTTGGGTTGTCGGAAAATCATGACGCATTTTTGCAATGAAAAACATAGAAAAAATACGTCATGACTTTTCCGACAACCCAATAGTTGACCTGTGCCCCTAGTAGTTTTTGTGGCCTGTGGATAGGTTACTTATTTCCTCAGTGCCTATAAAATGAGGTTTCTGGACTAACAATTTTTAGATCATGGACCTCTTTGAAAGCTGTGCCCTCTCCCTCCATAGAAATGTATCTATTCACAAGGGTGAGCATTTAACCTCAGAAAATTAAGTGGGAGAAATGCAGCTAGAGACCCCCAGTTAGGAACACCTGGGCTAGACATGAAACTAGTAATAAGAAGCCATACCTCACTTTTGCTAAGTACCACGCATGGATATAAACCCTTTCCAGACATTAACTCACTTAATCCTCACAATAGCCCCGCAAGGTAGGTACTGTTATTATCCCCACTTTAGAAAATGAGAAAAATGAGGCACATAACTTGCCTCAAAGTCCCATAGCTACTAAATGTCAGAGCCAAGATTCAAACCCAGGCAGACTGGCCCAGGGTCTGGGCTCTAAATTAGTACTTCACTGCCTTGAAACATGGTCAGCTAGTTTCTGAAAGATGGGATCCCAGAGCATTCTGCGTGGGTGTAAGTGAATGAAAAGCATGCAGACTGGGGAACCTTGACCTGTGCAGGTGTGGGATCATGGAGGAGTTGGGGCGGGCTCCAGCAGAGGCGGGCAACCACATTAGAAGTGAGGCTGTTTCCTTTCTGGACAGGAGATAGACATGGCAAAGGGCTAAAGGCAAAGTTTTTTGAGATACCTACATTTAGGAATGGGCGGAGTGGGAGGAACCGGCAGCAAGATGAGGACTGTTGGACAAGCAGCAGAAAAGAACAGTGTTGAAGCAAATTGGAGAAGGAATCCAAGGAGTGGGTTATCAGCAACCTCAGGTTTCACCGAGAGGTCAAGAGGGTGTGACACGGAAAGACGGGGCCTCAACCTTTACTGGTCAGTAGATAGTGGAGACAGAGTCCCTGATGCAGGAAGTTGGGAAGGGATTAGGCGGCAAGGTTAGCAGCCAAAAGCAGGACCTTGGTTTGAATTCGGGCCTGGAGTAGATCACTTCCCCTCTATGAGCTTTAGTTGTTTCTTCAACTGTGGAAAGGAGGTTATAATAGTGTCAACCTCACAGGGTTGGTGTGAGATAACCTGGGGGCACACCCATCACAGTGCCTCCTACATTGGGGAGTGTTAGGTGCTCTGCTTTTGTTGCCCCCATGACTTGGAATTGGTCTCACTGGGTCAGAAGCCCTCTGACAAGACTCCACATGTGACCATGGAGTCAGCTCAACCTGCACTTGAACCCTGGCCCCACCACTCACTGCAGTGGCATCTTGGCAAGTTTCGGTGCCCTGCCGAACCTGATCTTCCTCCTTTGCAGAGAGGGGAAGAGAAAGCCTCTCCTGCAGGGATGTGGGGGTCACACTTAGACAGTTGCATGCACAGCCTGTCTCTCTCCGACACTGCCCATCATCCCCCGCACTGCAGAGGCGCCAGCACTCTTGAATTCTGAGCAGCCTCTTTGGATTCTATGTGTCTTACCCAGATAGTGAAGAATCCAGAAATTTATTCCTGACGTGTCGCCTGCTTATCAAACCAGACAGGAGCACGTCTGAGGGTCTCCATGCGTCCAGGGTTAAAATCCCAAATGTGTGCCCCACATAAAGACTGGCATTTCAGGAATTCCCCATGCAGCCCCATCCACACCTGCCTCCCAGACTTAGCAACACTCACCTGAGGATGTGCCCTGATGAGTCACATGAGTCACTGTGGAGAACTCAAGTTACTTTGTCTAAACCTCTGTAATTTCTGGGCATGTCAGCTATTTTGAATTTGGCCTTTCTTAGTTGTTATTTGAGCTTCAGAAATTAGAATTACAACAGATATACAGTAAAAGTGGCAATATTTATTTATCTCTAGGGTAGAAGGCAAGCCCACGTGTACACACTGCCCTCTGGGCAGCAGTGAGGTGACAGCAGGAGTACAGATGACATTAGCATCAGTTCAGAAGGTTGGGCCTTGCTAGACATAAGTAAACCCTAATGCCCAGGGCACCCCTTGAATGTCACAAGGTGGGTTTTCTCCTAGGCATCAGGAATGGTGCCGGCTGTGCCCCATCCTTGGGAAAAATGAGAAATTAGTCATGCTGCTCATTTCTGTTCTCTGCGTTTAGATGAGGAGCCTGGTTGAGAAAGGCTTTGAGTAATAGAGCCAGATGTGCAAGGAAGGGGAATCTAGGGGAAGGAAGTGCCCAGGGAGGCTCTGAGGAGGCGGGAGGTAAGCCAGTCGGTATGTGGCTGCCAGCCTCTAGGCAACAGCTGACATGCTACAGGTACATTAACTTCTATGAACTGATGGCATTGTTCACTATGCAGAATTAATTGCAGCGAGCTTCTCAGTCGTTGGTAAATTTCTTCTCATATGGACCTTGATTTCAGAATGGTAGCATAAACCACAAAGGTCATGATGCCAAAACATCTCTGTTCTCATTGTTAGAATGGAAACAGAATTACAGAGTGCCCCCACAACACTTGAGACACCCAGACCTCCACCTTTAAGACTTGGCGGGGTTGGCAACTCTCCCCATGAAGAGCAGGCAGCTGGTGCGGTGCTCGTAGACGAGGAACAGGAAGGGGCGGTCAACAGTGAAACGGACTTGGGTGGACAGTGGCATGAACCCCACCGTGGTCACGGCAGCAGCTTGGGTGCCCTCTTCATTCACCGTGATGGTACCTTGGTGCTTGAACTGTTTCAAGATGGAAAGAAAAGTCAGTCCATCAGCTGGCACCCAGAGGTATAGAAGATACGGTGGAGTCCCATGTCATTCAGAGAACAGGTCAAAAGACCACTAGAAGGCATAGACTACAGCTGGTCAGGACCCTTGAAATGCTCTCTAATCACCTGTCAGGTATGGTTATTGTGCTTAGAGGCTGTGTTGTTTAAACAATGCTTATCTTTAGACTCTAATATCATAGTCACTCTTGCCGGTGGTCACAGTATGAGCAATCTGTGAGCCAGGACAGCAGCTGCAGGCCCCAGATCCTTCTTACGCTCTGGGACACACTACCCGGAAAAGGATGGAGCCTGGATCTGCACATTATTCTCTTTTTTGTGGTGTGCCTGTCATTGGTGTGTTAAGTTTAATATGCCAGTGGTGCAGTGTCTCTGCATGTTCTTAACAGATCTTTGATGATTTGGCTGAGAGTAGCTATTTCACAAAGGAGCATGCACCTGCTGTCTCTACTGTCAGCAGGAATGGACTCACCCCCAGGCTGCTCCCCTAGACAAACCACCCTGCCCACTTAGCATCTGGCAGATGCACGGAGAACAGACCCAGCACCCCTGACATGGGAGGGAGGCTTTGCTGGGGGCAGGCCCTGGGAATGGGTGCAAAGGGCAGGGGAGAGGTTACCAGGTCGATGGTGATTCTGTGGTCTGAGATTCCCGTCATGTTGCTGTTTTTATCAAACAGCTCTGTGATCCCCATTGACTTCAGGGCCTCCACCAGGTTGTAGTTCTTCTCCAGCTTGAATTTAGGCAGGAGCACCTCTCGTGTTCTGTTCAGAGAAGAAAAGGCCCAGTTAAATGAACTACAAGTTACAGAAGAATCATGTTTTTTCTTCAGAATTGACATAGCACTTATAAAAAATCATGTCCCAATACTGTCAATGGAGGAATTTGGAAAGATCATACCATTGTAATTCCAGTTACTGAAAACAGAGGCCTGGTTACAGCTGTGTGGTCATTTCCTCAATACTGTGTAGTTCATGTCCTATCTTCCAGGTCAGCAGGAGAACTGCTCCTGGCCAATGGTTTGAGAAGGTATCTAAAATAGTTCTCTTGTTTGGGGCTCTGATTCCAGGCGTTTCTTATTTTATTAATTAAGGTGTTGAATATCTGGTCAGTGTGCTTAAAAAAGGAACCCTTCATATACCAGACAATGCTAAGCATTCTCAGTCCTTGCCTCAGCTCACGCCGTCCTTAACTGGATGAACAGCAACAATAGTGCATTTGGGGCCAAATCCAGCCCTTACAGGGATAAGATGTTATATGCCGTCCCCATTCTCAAGAGCTTGCTTTCTTTTTGGCAAGTCAAGACTCTCATATGTGAAGCAATGAAAACATACAGGTGGTATGTTAACGTCTGACCGGCTAGAGCAGATATGACTACTGGAGCCATCCAAGAGAGGCTGTGGAGGAGAGGTAGTCCTATGGCCCAGAAGACTGCCCACTACTTGAGAGGTGGGATGGGCTCACTGTGTAAGCAAAGGCCTAGAGAGGGTGCGGCTGTGGTCCAGCTGGGGTGCAGGGGGGGAGGGGGACAGGGAGCAGAGCAGGCCAGATGGGCTGTATCCTACAGAGAGTTTATGAGAAGAATGGGGGTGGAGAAAGTGTCATGGGAATCCTGTTCTGGCAGCTAGTGCTAGGGTGGACTGAGGAATGGAAATGGGCAGGCTGGTTAGTCCTCCCTAAGCTCAAGGTTTAGAAGGTCATGGGCAGTGAGGTTAGGAAGGAGGCAAGTACAGAAGGGACATTTTTAAGGAGAAATTGACAGGGCTTGATGACTAATGGACTATCAGGGCAAATACCTTACTCTAAGAGCCTGCTTCTCAATTAATTGCATTTCTTTGTATTCTTGTCCTGGAAGGAGACCCATACCAGATTAACTGCTTAAGATGGGCCTAGCCAGTAGCCAATGGAACAGAAATGTGACTTCTCCATTTTCTGTCATGACCCAATTATTATTATTATTATTATCTTCGTAAATATTTAAAACTTGTAGTTTTGGCTATGGTGTAATAAATGATAATAGAGGGAAATCGTGAATGACATGTCCTTAATGAGTTAAGAGGACCTCGGGATTTCTTGTAGGGGAAGGGTAGAGTTCATCATTGTTGGATACCTCCTGGGTTCCAGGTGCTGTGCAGGATGCTTGACATTGCTTTTCTATTTATTTCCCCCAGCAATCCTGGGAAGTTACGGGGACATGCCACTTTTATGGATAACAAAGCTGGGGCTCAAAGCCACAAAGCAAGTACATGGCAGAGCCAGGATTGTTTCCAAGCTGGCTCAAAGTCACCTTTCCCTACCATCTGTCATTATGGAGAGCAGATGTGTTTCTCACAGATGCTCTGATTGCCTCTCACCAAGCAAGAAATTTGGGCTGAATTAACAGAGTGGCCCAGTGTGGCAGTTCTTGGGTATTCATACATCTCCCTTTTTCCTAAAATGACCAAAGTTCCAGTATTCCTGGGCTTCTCTAGGATCCTGGAAATCAAAAGAACAAACACTCAACCTGAAGTACCTGTTTGTCATGCTTTTCTGCCATCTCTCTACCACCTGGGGTGTCAGCTGTGTCTCGAGGGTCTTCATCCCGGACAGCTTGTGCGGGACCACAATTAGCATGCTGATGCCCCCCACGTACTCCAGCTGCAAGACATCGCAGTCCAGCTCCTGGTCATTTGCCGCCAGGAAGTTTCCCTTGGTCTGCATCATGGAGACCTTGACCACCTCCCGCTCGTTCAGCCTGAAGTTGTGGTTGTGGGTCATTTCCGTTGGGAATTTATTCACCCAGGATCCTGTAAAGTCAACAGGTAACAGGGCTTTTATGAAAATGTTCTTTTAGAGCAGTGGTCCTCACATGTGAGCATGCATCAGAAGCCCCTGGAGGGCTTGTTCGGACTGTGGGGCCCACCCCCAGAGTCTCTGATCCCGAAAGTCTGGTTTGGGCCAAGAACTTGGATTTCTAACATGTTCCCAGGTGATGCTGATGCTCCTGATTTGTGGGTCACACTTTGAGAACCACTGCTTTAGAGGAGTCTAAGAAGGTCAGGAGGCTAACATGCTTGTAGCGAAGCGTGATAATGGTGGAGAGATTAAATAGACTGGAGGGGATTCTGGGTTAGATTCTGACACTAACTAGTTGTTGGACCCCAGCAAGACACCTAACTCGCCTGGGACTCTACTTGTCCATCTGTAAAATGAGTAGCTTTGAGCTGATGACCACTCTGTTTTGACGGCGTTCACCCCTCGCACCCTGCGATTCTGTAGTGACTAGCAGAACACATTGGCAGCAAGACACTGCCATCAACATCTTCACTTCCTATTTGGGTGCAGCGCTGTGTATCTAGGAAGAGGTACATGACTATTTTAGCTTCAAGATGCTAGTCGCTAGTAATAGTGGATGCCTGACAATTTAGAACTGGTGATATGCCAGGCATTGTTCTAAGCACCTTTCCTGGATTACCTCATTTTCTCCTCCAGAAACCATATGGAGGTGGCTGCTTTCCATTAATAGCCCCATTTTACAAATAAGGAAACAGAGGCACAAAAAAGTGAAGTAACTTGTTCAAGGTTTCCAGCTGCTGGGTAGAGCAGCTTGACGAGATAAGCAGGATGGTCCTTAGGAGGAGGTTTAAATACCAACCTGCCTCTGATTGCAGTTAGGTGTCCTCCTTCCTGAGCCGGCCTCCACCCAGGGCTGCTCAGCACTGTTAACACTTGGGCAATTCCCTGTGACAAGTGGCTGTCCTAGGCATTATAGGATGTTTGGCAGCATTCCTGGCCTAACTTCTGCAACTGTCCCCTAGATGCCAGAAGTGCTTTCCCTTCTCCCCCTGGTTGTGACAACCACAAATGTCTCCTGACATTTGCCCTGGGAGCAGAATTGTCCCCTGGTTGAGAATCACTGCTCTTCTGGGTATGCTGGAGCTGTCTTGTGTCTCCTGGGATTCCTTCCTTTGGCTTCCTGCTGAGGCCCAACCTGTTTTTATTGTGCTTTACAAAATGGGTATAACATTTGAAATGAAAATCAAATTAGTAATCTAAAATTACTCTTTTAGACTCTACCCCCCCCCCTTTTAAAAAGATTTTATTGGGGCATTGGGGGAGGGGAACAGTGTTGGGGAATTGGGGAAGGGGAACAGACAAGCTGCTGTCCTTTGGTTCTTCAGTCTAGTGTGGAGGACGTGGCTTTGCTGGCCCATGTTGGTATTATCATTGCGCTCTTCCTGGGTGAGGCAAATCGGTCGCTGGCCACTGGACGGCCGCTCACGGCAGTTCTTGGCAGCTCATGCTGGCTGCCCACCCCTCACGTCGGCTGCCAGCCACTCATGGTAGTTTATGGCAGCCCACTGCAGCTTCACTGCAGCCTACGCCATCACCGGCGACTCACAGCAGCCCAGCTCCAGGTCAAGCTGTTGTCCATCATCTTAGCTGTAGAGGGTGCAGCATCACTGGCCCTAATGTGGGATTCGAACCAGGGCCCTGATGCTCAGAGCTGGTGTCCCAAGCCAACTCTTACCCAACGCGCCACTCGGCCAGCCTTCTACTCTCCTTTAATAAGCATCCGTGAAAGACTGGGCATCACTAGCATTTCATCTCTGTGATTCCCAGTCACTAAATTAAGTGACTATTCCCATATGATGGGGGGGAAAACACATATATTTGCCACTTTCACACTTTGGTGGGACGCTGGTTACTAAGTTCAGGAGATTATAAACTGACCATCCTAGCTGTTTCTCCAGGGATGGCTTGCTGCTGTGTGTCTCTACCTGCTCCTGAACACCTGTCCAGCCTAATGCAGAGGGTCTAAGGGCCCAGGGGTACCCCACAAGGTAGGACTGAGGGCTTCTGTGCTGCCCAAATGGCTTCCACTGGCCTTTTCTAAAGTCATTCCTAAACAGAATGTAATTGCTTAAAGAAATAAAATAAAGGTCACTGGCAATATCATACATACTTAATATATTATAATTTATAGTTTTACTCATCGGAGTTCATTGAGCTCTAGCCACATGCCACACACTGGCATCACTCTCTCTTGCAGTGCTTTCCATAGCCCTGTCAGAGTAGGTGTTACCTCCACGATAAAGGTGAGGAAACTGAGTCACAGAGATGGTGAATGAGTTATACACGAGGCCACACAAATAAGGGGTGGTGAAGCCAAGGCTTACACTATAATGTGCTCACTTCCAAAACTTGTACTGATAGCCAGTAGTAAAAAGGATATGTCTCTCTTCATCATATATACAGGTTTCCCCCACTATCTGAAGGTAGAATGGTCCTGAGAAAACTTTCGTAAGCTGAAATGGTGTAAAGTGAAGAGTACCTGTTTTCCTTAACTGAAAGATATGCAAAGAGAATTTTTGCTTTTATGAAAAAAGCTGTTACTGTACTAATGTAGGTCTTTTGTAAAAGTGAAGCGGTGTAATGCAAACTTTCAGAAAATGGGGGACCCATGTATAGCGTGTGTGTCTGTCTGTCACAAGCCTGTTAGAGCCTCAGCCTTTGAGTCCACCCACCATGAGGCCAGTGTTGTGTCTGACATGTTGTGGAGGTAAGCCCAGGGATTCAGCTCAACCTCCATGCCATTCCTATAGTCTTGGCTCCTTCAGCCTTTCTTTGCCCATCTGGCAGAATGCCTGCCTGGCACAGCTGCTGGGATGTCTTGGCACAGGCACAGAGCGCGGTATATTGGCAGGTTAGGAGGCACTGGCCCCACAGCAGCAGCCAGGAGAGGGCCTCACCTCAGTCCTTTGCCAACCTGGGCTGCTGTAAACTGCACTGGAGCTAACTACCCAGGAAGTGTGGCTTCCCAGGCCTTGGGGACTGACCCTCGCTAGTGCCCGCTAATTCTCGATGGTAGAGAGGAGAGTGGTTTGTGTCACAGTGACTAGTTGTAATGCTGACCCATTCCTGTGTCTGCCCTCCAGCTCTCTAGGCTCATAAAGTAGAGGTTTCTTCTCATTCAGGTCCCAGTGAAGGTATTTTAAAATAGAGGTCTGGATTTTACAAATCTATGCCCATTTGTTTCTAGGACTCCAGGGGTCCTGTGTGTGTCTAGTGAGGGTAGGTATCCTCTTTAAAAAGTGCCTCAGTGTTGGGCCGGCCAAGTGGTGCGTTGGTTAGGAGTTGGCTTGGGACGCCAGCTCTGAGCAGCGGGGCCCCGGTTCAGATCCCACATGAGGGCCAGTAATGCAGAGCTCTCTACAGCTAAGATGGTGAACAACAGCTCGACCTGGAGCTGGGTTGCCGTGAGTCGTCCACAACAGCGTAGGCTG